GCGGCGCTCAGCCTCTGCTGGCGGAGGGCTGCGCGCGGCCTCTGGGAGGCCATGTTCCCCCGCGGTCCCAGGGCCCACTAGGCTGTGGGATCACCAGCGGGGGAGGGGGGGTGGACGTGGGGCGGATTCAGTATCAGCCAGGCCACCCCCGCGGGAGGCAGGCCCCTTCTTCCCTCACCACACCCCCTGGGTGGGTCCAGTGCCCCCGTGGCAGGCAGGGGAGGGGAGGGGGGAGGAGGGGGACATGGGACAGCCCACCTTCCAGCCACCGGAAGGACCGCCACCCACTGCCCCTCCCATGTGCTGTGCGGGGTGGGGGGGGGGTCTGACTTCTGGGCTGACGTCCAACCCCATGTCTGTTGGGACTCACCCCACCCCCACCTCGTGGCATTGGGCCACATTACCTGTGTCTCTCTGGGCCTCAGTTTTCCCCTCTGTAGGCCAGAAGCTAACCCTGGGTGGGTGAGGCTGGCCATGCCTCCCACGCCGGTGGCTTGTGTGGCCCGAGGTCACAGTCAGCAGCACCTGAGATGGCAGGGGAGGGTCCAGGACAAAAGTCCCCGTCATCCACCACTTGCCAGATGGCCAGAGGCCTGGGTCTCGTCTGATCCCACCATGGGGGTTGAATCAGATTGCCCATCCCCATGCCTGGGGCGGGGACACTGACACCCAGAGGGGTCAGCATCACGTCCAGGGTCATAGAGCAGTGTCTCCTGGGGACAGGGGTCTCCCTCTCCCCTCCGTATACCTTGAGCCCAGCATGGAGGCAGTGAGCAGTAAACACCGATTGTTGTCACCAGCTCGGTCACTGCTTGGCGCCCCTGGGTGATCAGCAGCCTCCTAGAGCCTCGGGGAGGCCCGTCCCGAGGGAATCCTGGAGGTATCCCTCGGCCCCCCCAGAGGCCCACCCCCAAAGTTCTAGACTCACAAGGACAGGCTGCTGGCAGAGGGGGCAGGGAGCGGGGGTATGGCCGTGGGCGGTCGGGCAAGTGTCACCCCTGGCCACTGACAGGAGCTGGGTACCGCGGGCCCTTCCAGCCGGGCTGACCCCGGTCCCAGTGAGGGGCAGCAGCTGGCCTGACCCTGAGGCAACCTGGTGGGTGTGGGGGAAGCAGAATGGGAGTCAGGCCGAGCCCGGTGGGCTCCGTTTCTCCAAGAGACCCCGACAGCCAAGGTGGTGCTTAGCGGGTCAGCCTTGTCTGGGAGGCCGTGGGCTGTGCGGCCTCACTGGGCCTGGGCAAGGCGGTCCTGAGGAGGCCAAATCCAGACTCCCGTCCTGCCCGGCGCAGGGCCCGCCTCCCAGAGGGAGCAACTGTGGGGCCTGGAGGGGCCAGACGTCACCTAGTCCTCACCCACCTGGTTTGCAGCCTCGGCTTGATCTCTAGCTCCTGGGAGCTCACTTGCAGCAGGGGGGAGCCTCTCCCTCCAGCCACAGGAGGTGTCCGCCACCCCAGAGCACATGGCACCCGGCCTCTGTTCACGGCGGGCCCTCTGCTTAGGACACCCCTCCTGCTGCCCCCTTTCCCCGTCACCGTCACCCGAGGCTTCCATCACAGCCGCCACCCCCAGCTTCTGGTAACACACGCCTGACAGCGCCGATGTCTTCTGACCCTTTGGTGGGTGTTCTCCCCTCCCCCATCTTAATGAGAAGAAATCTGCCCAAGGTCCCACAGCCTGGCAGACGCACATCCTGCCTGGGGTTCCAGGCACACTTGCACAAACACGAGCAGGCCTGGCTTTGCCTCCACCAGCTGCCCTGGAGGCCAGGGGCCAGCCGCTCCACCTCCAGGGAGCCTTCCTGGAAGCAATCTTTCCTCTCGGCCCCACACTTGCACCCAGACATTCCTAAGTCCTGGTCCTGGGCTCCACAGACGGCTGGGAGTGGAGGGCGTCGGTTCATGGCCCAGGGCAGCCTCGAATGCAGACTCTCCAGAACAGGATGTTTATCACTTGAGGGATTGCCTTGGGGGGGTGCTGCCTTCCAAAGGTCCTTCAGCTGGGAGACAGAGCTGGAACGGGCAACAGCTACACAGTAGGGTTGGCGGGGGGCTGCCTGGGGTTTTGGAGGCACAAAAGAAACAGCAGGGGTGGGATGGAGGAGAGTTCACAGATTGCTTCCTGGGACAGGTAAGTCCTGAGTTGGGTTTTGTAGGATGAGTAGGAGTCTGCTAGCTACAGAGTAGGAAAAGGAATGAGGAGCCCCGCCCTCACACTCTGTGATTATACGTGTTTGTTGTGGGGGCCTCTGGGGGGTCGCTATGTGGTTTGCTGATGTGGTGGAAGAGTGAGGGACCCTCTGTGGGCACTGGGGACCACTCATACCCAATAAGGCAGGTCATTCCTAGAGTCAGTCTCAGAATTAATCAGGAAGCTGTTGTTGCAGGTGACAGAAACTGAAGCCAAACCAGCTTAGGCCCAGGGGGTTTTATAGCCTTTGACAACCAAAACTCCAGGAGCTGGACCGGCATCAAGTATGGCTGGATCAAAGGGTGTCTTCAGGACTCTGCCTCCCCCCTTTCTGCTGCCTGCTTTCTTCCCTGTGCCAGCCCTTTCAGGCCGGCTCCCACTGACAAGGCGGAGAAGGCCACACCTCCATCCCACTCCCCGACCCTACTCTGCCCCAAACTGGAGGCCAACCCCGAGAATATGACACACAGCTCCTTCAGGCTGGATGCCCGTGCAGGGACCAGCGCTGGTCTGACCCTGGAAGACCCCGGTGAGTGACACAGCCAGGCGGCCCCCGGTGCTGCCCCCTCCCCTCCCCCTGCCCTCCCCCTCCCCGGCCCACAGGCCCCTGGAAGAGCACCCCCCCTACCTCGAGTGCCCCAGCAGCCCTCCCCCGATCCCCTGGGCTCTAGCCTCTCCCCTGGCTAGGGCTGCAGGAGACTTGCCAAGGAGAAAGCTGGGTCACCCCCTCCCACATCCCCCATGGGGAGGGGGAGCCTGGCTGCCCAGTCACCGATGCCCTGTGTCAGGTCCCCTGCCTGTGTCACCATTCCATCTTGTGCCCCCTGGCCACAGCAGACCCTTTGAGGCTCCCTGCCTTTGGCCCGCATCCCCTGCCAGGAGAGCCCCGGCCAGCTGGCCCACCCCTCCAGCTCGTCCCCATGTAGGCCGCCCCTCACGGCCGGGCCAGTGGCCACCATGCCCTGCCCCCACTCCCAAGCACTTAACTTCCAGCTGTGGCACGGCTGTCTCTGGGCAGTTCCCCGAGAACAGGCGTGGGGCAGGCCCAAAGCGGGGGTTGGGAGGCTGGGCACCCAGCAGCAGAGGGTCCACCCATGCCCACCTGTGGCTCTCCGTGCTGTCCTGTCTCTCTGACCACGGGCCCGGAAGGCTGTGAGCCTGCGGCAGCGAGCCTCCCAGCCCCCTGCCGTTTACTCGGTGGCAGCCCCAGAGTGAGTGGGAGCTGCCCCTCCACCTCATGGGGCAAGGGAGATCCGGGGCTCCTGGCCAGCCCACGCAGAAGCACCGTGTTCGGCAGCAGCCAGCTTCCCAGGCACAGCTGGGCCGCTAGGCCGGGACCCAGGCCTGGGGACAGACGCGGGACCTGGCCCCGCAGTAGGGCCTCCGAGGGGCAGTCAGCTCAGGGGGCCGATGACCTTCCCAGGGCAGCCGGTCAGACAAGGGCCAGAAGCATGCCTGTTGGCTCCTGACCAGTCGCCCTCCCCCGCGTCCCCCGGGACCCACCTTGTGCCAGCTACTTGACCCAGTGGGCTGGGCGCTACTGCCCCGAATCACCCCGCTTAGTCTCAGCCTCTGGGTGTTTTCAGGGCCAGGAGACAGAGGCTAGGCAAGATCAACCCAAGGTCACACGGCGGTGAGTGACAGAGCTGGGGTTGGAAGCATCTGTGGCCCCAGCCTGCATTCTCCTCTCGACACCCGATGCCCCTGTGTGGGGAGATGGCTCCCCATTTCACAGGGGAGGAAGCTGAAGCCCGGGAAGAAGCAGTTCCTGAGGTCAGCGCTGATCAGGAAGAGCACCGGGTCATGGACTCAAAGCCAGCACTTCCTGCCCGCGTACCCCGCCTTTGGATGTGGGCCTCCATAGTCCACCCCCACCCCCAGAGCAAGCGGGTGTCTCTGTCTGGCCTGAACCAGGAGTGTACAGCTTTATCTGGAAGACACTACATCTTGGGGTGATGGCAGCGGCATAGAGCCCGCCAGGGCAGGCAAGCCCCTGGGGAGCTCGGCTTCAGAGAGAGAGCTTTGCAGTCAGTGTAGATCATGGAGGGAGGGAAGGAACTCTAGGCAGGGAGGGGAGGAGGTGCGTCGAGGGTCCATGAGCAGCTGAGAAGACGGGGTTGCTACCTGCAGGGCACAGAAGTCGTGGTGGGTCAAATGGGGAAGAGTAATCCAGAGCCACACCTGTCGTCACGAGACATCCCCTGAGCTCTCCCTGTGGCCCTGCAGGCCCATTTCAGGGACTGTGGTGCTGAGTGACACCAGGGAGCATTGCAAGGAAATCCCTACGTTCAGGGAAAAGCAGATGAGGAGAAGTGGGGGTACGTGGTTTGGGGACATTGATGCTTCTAGAAGGAGTTGTCCAGCATGAGTGTGGTTTTGGGGGCCAGGGCCGGGGCCAGGTCCCAAATTCAGAAGGTAGTGTGAGTGGCCCCAGTGGCCAGGGTGGCCAGGAGAGGGCCCGTGCCAGAAGCATCTTCGTCTGGCTTCTGGATCCTGCTTTCACATCCATGCCCAGCCCCAGGCAGGCCGGGAAGGTAAGTCCAGGCCCCTGAGTCGGGGTGGGGGGGCTTTGGAATCTAGGCTGTGTGTGTCTGGCACCTGAGGCCTCGCGTCCGGCAGCAGGATCCAGACTCCTGGGCGGCCTCGGGGTCCACAGCCAACCCCCCCACAGGACAGGAGATTTGCACACCCTCAGCTCTGGCGTCTGGGTCCAGATCACCCGTGAGGCTGCACGCAGGGAGGGACCCGGTGTTCCCCACCCTTCAGAGGGGCTCAACCTTGGTCTGTTGATGTCCAACCAGACCCACCCTGGGATTTCATCTTGTAGTTGACTTTCTCCATGGGCCTGGTCTGCGCTGGCTGGAGCTGTGAGCAGTAGCCGTCTCTCTGACCGCAGCCGGTGGGGTCCTGGCACCTGGGGAGGCTGGAGGTCCAGGGGTTTGTCAGAAGGAGCTGGGCCTCACACAGCCCTGGGGGCACACACCACTGACCTGGCCTCGTGGTGGAGCTGTTTGCCCAAGGGCTGGCTACCGGCCAGGGCCTGGCTGGGGGGGACTGGAGACGCTCAGGGTCAGGGGAGCAGCGGGGTCGGGAGGTGATGCGGACAGACTGTTACGGGAACAGCCCTCCCTGGAGCCACTGGGCTGAGGGCCCCACTCAATGTCCGTGTGACATGGCCACAAGAGTCCAAAGGCCGGGTCAAGGTCAGGGCCGGCCAGGGCTAGAAGCCAGGGCTCTTATGCCATGCTGAGCCCCCTTCCCGGCAGGAGGCCACAGCATTCAGGACTGGGCCAGTATGAGGTTGTGGTTTTCTACTGTTATGGGGAAGCCAGCCCCAGGCTGTGTTAGCTGTGGGAGTGGGGGCCAGGGTGTGGAGTGGCTAGGAGGTAGCGTGAGCCTGAGAACCTTACTCTCTCGGGGCTGTGTCTTTTTGTTGTTGTTTTTTTTTTAAGATTTTATTTATTTATTTGTCAGAGAAAGAGAGAGAAAGAGAGACAGGGGGAGGGCGCCTGGGTGGCTCAGATGGTTCAGCGTCTGCCTTTGGCTCTGGTCATGATCCCAGGGTCCTGGGATCGAGTCCCGCATCAGGCTCCCCGCTCCTTGGGAGCCTGCTTCTCCCTCTGCTTCTCTCTCTCTCTCTCTCTCTCTCTGTCTCTCATGAATAAATAAATAATAAAATCTTAAAAAAAAGAGAGAGAGAAAGAGAGGGGGAGAGAGTGGAGCGCACACACAAGCAGGGGGAGAGGGAGAAGCAGGCTTCCCACTGAGCAGGGAGCCCCATACGGGACTCGATCCCAGGACCCTGAGATCATGACCTGAGCCGAAGGCAGACGCTTAACTGACTGAGCCACCCAGGCGCCCCTCAAGGCTGTGTCTTTTAAAACAGCTCCCACTGTGGGAACAGCAGGCAGAGTGTACATTCCAAGGGCAGAGGAGGGGTCGGGAGCCTCTCATCTCCCACCTCTACCTGGAGAGTCAACGGGTGGACACTTCCTCTGGGTGACCTCCTCCCAGAGAAAGCTGCGAGAATTCCCAAATTCTTGCAATCTGGGCACGAACCTGGATCTCCTCCAAGATGGAGAAGATGACCAAATTCAGCTGGAGCAACAGGGGCCAGTGTTGAAGGCCAGAGCGGGGGCCCAGGACCCAGCGAGGAGCCTGGAGGAGGAGGTCTGGAGAGGCCGGTGTCCGGAGTGAGGAAGGAGAAGCCAAGTGTGTCCCAGACACGCCTGTGGGAGAATTGGGGCAATCACAGGACAGAGGCAGAGTGGGGACAGCAAGGGACGGTGACCAGCGCCGGCCGACTGGCCACCCACACCACCTGCCCCGGCCTTCTCCCAGAAGGAGCTTCCGAATTCCCAGCAGGCATGGGCCTGGTGATAGGGCTCAGATCAGGGAAGGAAAAAATAAATTCTTTGTGCCGCACAAACTGTTGCCCTTTCCCACGAGCGCTTACAATTCTGGCTTTGTTTCCGGGGAAGCAAACGATAGAGAGACTCATGGCTGTTCTGTTCGCATTATGGGGGAGCCTTAAAAAGGAACCCCCCAGAACTGGGGGGTGGGGGAAGGGCGCCAGCTGTGAGTTCGGTGGCCAAACGGGGGGGGGGGGGGTCACCAGGGGAGGGCACCCCTCAGAGGCTGGCCTGGAACAGGCACCCTCGCTGGGGTGGGGACACTTACCTGGGAAACTGGAAGATGGAGCTCCCCCAAGGACAGCATGGCAGCAGGCTCTCAGAATGGGCTAGAAACCAAGAAACACAGGCAAGATGCCCTCAAGGGGGAGAAGTTGGGAAATGAGCAACAGAGACGGTCAAAGGTGCTGGCAGCCTTGTCCTGGGAAGCCTCCTGCCCTGCTGACCTTGGCTTTGCACCCAAGGTCTTCTGATCTGAGCAGACCATGGGTGAGCGGAAGGCAGGACCCGGCCCAAACCAGCAGTTCTCCCCAGGCCTGAATTTGCCTCCACCTCCACCACTACCTCGACTCTCCACAGCGTTGCCCGAGAGAGGACGTGAAAACTCACATGCGTGCACACGCAGGGACATGAACACACACAAATGGGCTCACACATGCAGACGTGAACGTGCTCCACACGAATATATGCAGATGCACACACAGAAGCAAACACACGTGCACACACGTGTGTGCATGCTCACGCATACAGGCTTTTGTGCATGCTGATGCACACATGCGAGCACACACATGCACTCACATACATGCATGTTTGCACTCGGAAGTGCACCACACATAGTCACCGGGGTGGCGCGCACACACACACGTATATGCACGGTCACAAGCATGCACACACACACATATGCACACGGTGGCAGGCGGAGCCCTGAGCAGAGCGGGTGTGTGGTCTCTGCTCCCTGCTCTACCAGGGGCCTGTCCCATATGCTGAGTCCCATAGCCCCCTCCCAGCCTTCTTGCTCCTCTGCTGGAGGAAGCAGTAAGCCAGGGTGTTGGGGAGCTCCCAGCTCACCCCAGCAGGATGAGCTCACTCAGGTGCAGTGCCTGGCTTCCAAGGGCATCTCCCTCCCGCCGCGGGGGGCTCACTGTGCCCACCCCGGCAGCTGGGGAGAGGTGGCTCAAGGTCACATGGCCTGCCGAAGCCAATGTTCTTGTTGTTTTGAAATAAATACCTCTGGGGCGCCTGGGTGGCTCCGTCGGTTGGGTGTCTGCCGTCGGCTCAGGTCACGATCTCCAGGTCCTGGGATCGAGCCTTGTGTCAGCTTCTCTGCTCAGCAGGGAATCTGCTTCTCCCTCTCATACTTCTGTGCATGCTCTCTCTCAAATAAATAAATAAAATCTTTAAACAAAAGTAAAAAAAGAAAGAAATACCCCTTCCATTCTACGTTGACAGAGACAAATGGAGGCTTTGAGACAGCCGGTGGGGAGAAATTCTGATTCTCTCTCTAGTCCACCTCGTCGGCCAGTGGATGACTCACTATCCAACAAGTGCACATTTCAGCATCTCTGTCTTCCCAGGATGGGGGAGGACATGACCCTAAAGAAAACTCAAGTCTCTTTCCTGTAAAGCAGTGAAATCCACGGCAAAGCCCGGTGGTAGCATGGTGGGAGAGCCCCACCTCCCTGCCCTCCCATCCCCCACCGCCGGGCTGCACCTGGGTGCCCTCTGCGTGTGCAACACACACTGCGCTCTGGAAAGGGTGATGGACGGGTGGAGGGCGTCCTGCCCACTGACACCCTCCTCAGCTGCACAGGAGGTTCCAGAAACATTGCCACGACCCACATCACCCAGCATTGGCCAGGAGGTATCGTGGCAACAGTGAGCAGTGAGCCAGGAGGCGGGGCGCCAGCAGCTTCGAGGCCACCCAGCTGGCTGGTCCCCCTCTGGGCTTCCGTCTCCTCACCTACATAAAGGGGCAGGGGGTGTTGACCCAGGACATCTCCCTGGGGCCTGGTGCTGCAGGAGCCTGGCGGGGTCCCGGGAAGTTCCTCCCGGCAGGCTGGGTGCAGGGGCTCTGGGGTACAGACTGGCCTCCCCTCCGGGGCAGCATATGGACCATAAGGAGCCCCAGCAAAGCAGCCCCAGGCAGGGTGGCGTGAGGCTGCCTGGTGGCTTGTCAGGCCGGGGTCGCTGGGCTGCGAAGGGCCTGTGAAGGGCCTGCCTCCAGGCCCGTGGCCAGGAAAGCCTGACCCCCTGGGAATTGGGAGAACCTCCCAGATGTAAGCCTCCCCCCAGCACTTCTCAAAGCCCCACCCCGAGGAACTTTCAGATGTGACCTCGCTGACCCTTCCAGCAGCCTGACGAGGCAGTACGACCATTATCCCCTCTTTACAGATGGGGAGACTGAGGCACACGGAGAGCTGACATGATTGGCCCACGGCCCCTCAAATGGCAGAGGAAGTCTGCTCCCGTGGCCGTGATCTCGACCACCGTGATGACACAAAACAAGCCCCCCACCCAAGATGTCCACGTCCTGAGACCCAGAACGTGAAGAAGTTACTTTGTGTGGCAAAAGGAACGTCGCGGATGTGATTAAGTCAAAAATCTTGAGATGGGGATAGGATGGTGGATTTCCTCACGGTGTCCAGTGTCGTTGCAAGGGTCATGAGAAGAAGAAGGGGGCCAGAGTCAGAGACTGGATGGGGTCAGGCTGCCGGCTTGGGAGGTCGCGGAAGGGGCCGTGAGCCCAGGAATGCAGGCAGCTTCTAGGAGCTGGGGCAGGTCAGGACACGCCAAAGGGAGCTCAGCCCTGCCAGCCCCATGGGACCCACATCAGACTCTGACCTCAGCACTGGAACATTAAGTCTGGGTTGTTTTTAGCCACAAAATGGGGTCATTTGTTACTGCGGCCACAGGACACTCATACAATTACTGGGTTCTTGAGCTCCTTTCCGTGTTTCTCCAGGGGCTTTGTCCCCCCCCCATCTCCGTGGATACAAAATGAGCACTACCGTGTTGGGCAGTCAATGGGACTAGGCTTTCTTACCCAAGCTCCTCCTCCCATGAGCCCTCAGGAGGAGGGGAAGGGGGAGAGGTCTCTCAGCATCCACCTGTCTGCAAGGCTTGAGGATTTTCCTAACGGGACCCCTGCCTGCCTGGCATCTCCCCTTCCATGGTGTCTTCCTATCAGGTGGGGAGGGGGACCCAATTTTACCCTGGTCTGAGCACACTCCCTTCAAACACCCGCCCCCAGGCCCCAGGAAGGATTAGGAGGTGGTGAGGGCTGCAACTCGATGAAGACTCTAAAAACCCTAGAATTTAAGAGCATGAATTTTATGGCATGTGAATATACTGCCCTAAAGCTGTTATATTAAAAAAAGAAAAGAAACACTCATTTGCAGAATTTTGGTGCAATGTCAAAGAATACTCACGATTAACCTGAAACCGCTATTAAATGCTTTCTCTCTCCCCCTTCCGGTGGGAGGCTAGGTTTTCTTCACACACGTTTGCAGCAGATCAGATGCAGATGCAGAAGCAGACGAGGAGCCAGCCACCTGCCATTAAACCAGACGTTCAAGAGCCTTGCAAAAATGTTTTAAAAAATTGGAGGGGGCTTTGAAAAATTTAATCACTTCGTAAAAGTGTTGTATACGTTCCCAAATACAGGGCTTCTTATTTTTATATGAATTCATAAATATTTAAAGCTTTTTTTCAATTTTAATTCTAATACCAGAAATATCGACAAGTATAGCCCACAGGAGCAAAATATATTGGGGTTCTCAATAGCTTTTAAGAGTAGAAAGGAGTCATGAAACCAACATCTTTGAGAACGGTCATCCTACACAACCACCACTTGATGGAAGTTAACACCAAGGGGACCCTAGGCTACAGATCTCATTCTGATTCCACCAAATGTTCCAAAATCTCTTACAGCACCTGAAAATCCTGAAGGGGAATTGGGGGGTTAGTGTTCAGGGGTACAGAGTTTCTACTGGGAAAGAGCAAAGGAAACAGACCATGGTAATGGTCTCACAGCAAACCATACACTTAGAAATGGGAAATTTGCTGTTATGTTTATTTTACCACCACAACAAAAAAATTACAGTGTAAAAAATAAATTAAAAGTGTATTCAGGGGCGCCTGGGTGGCTCAGTTGGTTAAGCGACTGCCTTCAGCTCAGGTCATGATCCTGGAGTCCCGGGATCGAGTCCCGCATCGGGCTCCCTGCTCGGCAGGGAGTCTGCTTCTCCCTCTGACCCTCCCCTCTCTTATGTGCTCTCTCTCTCTCTCATTCTTTCTCTCAAATAAATAAATAAAATCTTTAAAAAAAAAAAGTGTATTCAAACATAGTAGCATATGCATCATAATAAAAACAAGCAAAATTACAGAGCACATATGTGATATATTTCACTATAAAATAATATTGCAGTATGAATAAACACAATCACTAGAGAGCTTTATGCACAAAATAGCTGGGCATTGTTAAATCCAAACATGTAGGAGGTAACATACCCAAAAAAGGGTAATTTTTTAATGCCATCGTTTCTGTTGTTATTTGTATTTATAACCTCAGATAAGATCCTAATTCCCAGGAAGTTTCCAGTCTGGTGGAGATAGACTAGTAAACAGACACGTATGACCCAGGAAGATCAGCAGAGGTGCCGGGGCTGGTGGAGCACGGAAGAGGACGAGTGCCCGGACAGGGGAGATCAGAGAGGACTTCCCGGAAGAGGCGGTATCCCGCACGAGGGAAAGCTAGTGTGACACATCAGATTGCAAGTGGAGAGGCTGACAGAGAGAGGGGGGTGTGACCCTGGCCGACCCCAGGGGGGTGGGGAGAGGGTGGGACAGAGCCTGGTGGCTGGTGGATAAGGGAAGTGAGACTGGAGGCCCCGTGTGAAAAGACTGTGCAGGCCGGTGGGGGAGGGGTCAGGGCCCGGCAGCCTCTTGACTGGTTCCTGTAGATCTTCATTACCTCTGACTCTTGTCAGTGACCATCCGGGGCAGCCTCAGTACTCCGCACAAGGAAACGGGGGAGCTGAGGGCTGAGGGGATGAGCCAGACTCCCCCTGCAGAGCCGGGACTGGAGCTCAGACTCTCAGCACAACTTTACTGCCCTGAAAAAAAGGGTGATGGGGACAGGGAGCCTCTCGCGGTGAGCCCTGCATCACCCACCCAGCTGTTTGAGTCTTCCTTTCAGAGCGTGTGCCTGGCCCCGGGGGCCCAGTGAGGATCTCATGGGGTCCTGCCCTTTCCCCCAGTCCAGAAAGTTCCAGCTGGACCTCAGGTCCTGCCAAGAGCCTCTCCCTCCCTGCCCCGCCACCGGCCGACCTCTCAGGTTCCCTTCCAAAGGGGTCAGAAGCGACTGGGCAAGGAGGCCCAGGTCTGGGTGGGAACGGGGCGCCTGGTTTCCTAACATCATGGTGCATGAGTGAGGACACGTGAGACAGCCAGGCCCCGGTGCCCGCCGTTCTGTCCGTCTGCCAAAGCGTGCCCCATCCAGTAACCTCTTCACCTGATGCAGGATCTATCACCTCGCTGGTGCCAACAAGAAGCCAGAGCCCACTTCTAGACCAAAGCAGCAAGTGACTGGGAGAGCCACTGGAAGCAAGCTGGAGGGTGGGAGGCCACGGTGAGTGTCCCCTCCCTGGGAGGTGGTGGGGACGGGACGCGGAGCCACCCTTCTACTCCCTGTTTGCAGAAGGCAGAGGTGGGCGGCTTTCTGCCTCGGCCTGGGATGTTCCGGCTGAGAAGGGGAGCTGGTTCCCCCCAGGCCCTGAGCTCTGCTGATACCAGTCCTGGAGGTTGGTCCTGAACACATTCCCAAAGCCCAGAGCACGAGCCCCGCTGAGCATAATTCACCGCAAGTGCTCAGCCCAGAGAGTCATGTGTCTGCTTTCCCCCAGCGAGGCAGGAAAAAATGCCTCCCTCGTGGGCTCTGGCAGCTGGCTCCTGGGACATGTCCCAGTCACACCCCCAAGCACAACTCAGAGTCCCCGGCTGGCAGTGCACGTTTGAGATCAGCCAGCCCAGACTCTCAGTTTACAGTTGGGAAGGGACGCAGGGCGGTCGTGGCTGTCCAAGGTCACGGCGCCCAGGAGGGGAGTCGGGGGCACAGTGGAAAAAGCAAGGACACGTGAGCCGGCCCTTTGGGCACCCGGGTGGGGCCTGGGGCTCCCGGGTTTGCGTCTCGGGGTGATGGCTCAGCCCCTCCAACCTCAGTTTCCGCAACCGGGAGCCGGGGAGAGGCAAGCTGCCTACTTGAGGCTGAGCAGTGCTGAGTGCAGAGTGCTCTGTGCACGGCGGGCACGTCATCCCCGACCTCTCTAGGTGGCCAAACAGGGAGGGAGGTAGGCGCCTGACCCTCTGCCCGGGAAGATCGGCAGCGAGCTGCTTTGCTCTGGACCAGCACCGCTCCTAAGGGACATGCTCAAAATCACTGCTTAGTGAGGGACCACTGCCCCTGTGCCAGGCAAGGTGGGGACACACCAGCATCAGGGACAGCCAAGTCCCCGTGCTTAATGTCAGAACCAGAAGACAGACCAGGATCACCGATGACCTGAAGTAACAATTTAAGCTTCTGTGTCTAAGCTCAGACCAGGGTATTAGGAGCAGGTCTCTCTCTCTCTCTCTCTCTCTCTCTCTCTCTCTCTCTCTCTCTCTCTCGAAATAAGTAAAACGTTTTGTATTTTTAAAAATCCCTTGCAAATGATGATAAAAACCTCTACAAGTGGCCAAAATAGTGGAGAACCTCCAGGCCAAGCTTGGGTGGGTCAGCCACTTTTGCCCTGAGGCCCTTTGCCATTATTTGGAGAGTTTGGGCCTTGACCTTGACGGGGAGGGGCATGTGAGGATAGAAGTCAAGGTACCAGGTTTCTAATGGGAGATTCCCCCTCGTGTGAGGCTGGAGGCCCAAAGGCCACACACCAGGGACTCGGGAAAAAGGAGGCGTGGGGGAACTTTCTGGCAACTCTGCAGGGGTTGGAGGAGGAGGTCAGCGCCAGGGTCGCTAGCTGGTAAAACAGGAGTCATGTTTGGAAAGGGCCAGCTCAGTCCTCGGCACCTACCTAGCCATCACTAGAGTGTGTTTTGCGGGTGAGGGAGGGTGGTTGTAAAGTTAAACTCAGCACTAACCCTTGCTTCCACCTGGAGAAAGGAAGCGATGGGTTTACAGTCCCCCCCACCCCCCCCACCCCCGTCTGTCTTTCCCACCAGCCATCCAAGAAGACCGCCCGCCCGGCTGCTGGTCTGGTGTCCTGCCCCACGCCACCATCCCCTTCTAGGGCTCGTTCCAGTGACTGCCTTCACATATGTGTGGACTTCAGCTCTCTTTCTGCCCCCAGCCATCTCCTTCCCCTGCCCCCCCCAGGCTCCCAGGCAGAGGGAACTCCCCCCCCCGCCGCCCCCAGGCTGGGCTCCCCTACCCCCAGGATGCCCGATGGCATGGGAGCCGGCCCCCATGTGGGTGTAACTCCTGCAGGCTCCCAAGGCAGTCACCCACACCCTGCTCTGTCGATTTGTCAAAGATCAAAATCGGGCCCTGGCGGAGGATTGTATATTCCATGCTGCAAGTCTCAACACAAACCGGAATGTTGACTTGCAAATAAATATCACAAGTAAATCTGGAGGAGAGAGCTAGCCGGGTACAAAAAGACTGGAAAAATGTCAGGAGGCCTTCGCAACGTGCTGTGTGTTTATCAGTAAACAGAGCTTGTGGGGGCCAGGAGGTCCCGGACTTTGGGCTTTCCAAACCGACAACATGTTCAACAGTTTTGGGGATGGACCTGGGGGCCGCCGAGTCAAAACACACCAGTCCCTATCAACCATTATCAGCACTTCACCTAAGACACTTTTTTTTTTTAAGATTTTATTTATTTTTGACACCGAGAGAGAGAGAGAGAGAGAGCACAAGCAGGGGGAGCAGCAGGCAGAGGGAGAGGGAGAAGCAGGCTCCTCGCGGAGCAGGGAGCCGGATGCGGGACTCGATCCCGGGACCCTGGGATCATGAGCTGAGCTGAAGGCAGATGCTTAACCGTCTGAGCCACCCAGGCGCCCCTCACCTAAGACATTTTTATTAAGAAAAGGCATTTTCAATAATAACCCAAGAAGGTAAAGGACATACTCTCAGGGAGAAAAAGGATGTTTCTTCAAATTGACTAGTTGACCCTTTACAGGAAACACAAGGTCCTTGCTTCTCTTCCCCATCTTGCTGTAGACCCTCTGCCCGGGAAGATCGACAGCGAGCTGCTTTGCTCTGGACCAGCACCGCTCCTAAGGGACACGCTCAAAATCCCTGCTTTTTGGGACAGGGACACTTGGCATGCATGGCCTGTCCCTGCAGGGGAGTGGGGACCACAGTCCACTCCCTCATTTTAGTGAAAGCCAGGGCCTAAAGCCAGGGCCTAGAGGTGCCGATAGAACGTCCTGGCCCATACCTTGCACATTTATGGAGCCTCGTGGGTTCTGGCTCCTGTGCTGGGCACCCGGGAATGACGAGCTGGGGGAGGCCGGCCCTGTTCCAAGGAGCTCTCTCCGGAGGCTCACAGCCAGGGCCGAGGGCCTGCAGACTACTCGGGCTCAAGTTCATGCTGCCTCGATGAGCTGGAAGGACTCATCCGTAAAAGGCAGAAGCCAGGGTAGACCTGAGGGTCGCATGAGTGAGCAACAGATAAGCACTTTGCCTGGTGTCAGAGAGGTTTGAGGCCTCAATGGAGGCCGGCTCATCTGAGTGCTGAGGCAGGCAGGGGAGAGGCACCTTTTAAGACAGTGCTCAACTAGACAAATGCTACATGGGAGAAGGTGGCAACCCAAGAAGGAGGGCGGCTTTGCCGGTGGGATGGATGCCAAGCAGGCTTCCTAGAGGAGGTGACCCTTGGCAGAGCCCTCGGGCAGGTGGTCACCAAATCTCGACTATGACCTACCTATCAGGTCCTCTCCCTGCACTTCCTACATGTTCCCTGCTAATTCTCTCCCCAGGGCCCGTGGAGATAAGCACCGCTGCCCCATTTTATAGATGAGGAAATTCAGTCAAAAGGTCATTTGTCCAAGGTTCTATAGTATGAGTCAAAGGTAGAGCCAGGTTTTGACTCTACATCTGCTTGATTCCTAATCCCAGGTTCTGCCTCCTAGTTTCATGAGGGAAATTGGGGGTGTCCCAGGCAGAGGTAGTGATGGGCCTATATATCTGTATTTCCTATGCATTTGTGGGTGAACATGCTGTGTCTTCTGTCTACACTCCCCCTGACCTTGCCCCCCAGCAAGAGTACACTTCACAGTTGGGATCCCTACCCGGGTCAGAGAATTGCGAATCCCATCTTCAGCAGAGTGGACTATCCTTATCGACCAAATGCATCTCTACATCATGCTTTACGGTGAGGCTCTCACCTACTGGGTCACACGGGTCCTGAAGCTCCAAGCCCATGCCCTAAACTGGACAAAAGACGTCAGTGATGCAGCCCCTGTCCTAAGGAGCTTAAGCCCCCCGGGGATGGAATAGCGTGTACTGGTGGGGAGGGTATCTTACTCTTGGGAAGGGAGAAGATGGCCAGCCTTGCTACAGGCGGGCTGTCATGGGCTTCTCAGGCACGGTTGGTTATCTCAGGTTAATTATCAAAGAGGTAGAATGTCTAGGGCAGCAGGAGTGGCTGGGCCTACAGAAGTTTCCAGAACCTGCAGGCCTCATGTGAGTGCCTAGCTTTACCCACCACCACCACCACCACCACCACCTCTGCTTCAGTAATAACAATCAGTTAGCATGCATCATTTCTTATTTTTTACCAATCTGATGGAATCAAGCCAAATTCCCCACTCGGCCACCTCTGCCCACCTTGCACCATTTCCATCTCTCCCTTTGAACGTGGCCCTTCGCTCCTGCCACAGGCTTCTGCACGTGCTGCTGTCAACCCACAGTGCTGGGGCCAAGACTGATCCTTGACACCGTGTTCCTGTGCCTGCCAGACACCACCGGGGTAGCAGGCCAGGGGAGCACCGGCTTCTGGACCAGACCTCTGGGGGTACCCTGGGGCTGGTGCAGGTGGCAAAATGGATCTGGACTCTGACAGCCTGGTTCTTGCTCCCTCTCGGAGGTCTCAGCCGAATGATGTCATTTCTGGCCCTCAGTTTCCTCATCTGTAAAATGGGGATGAACCCAGCTGCCTTGCAGGATTGTTGTGAGCTCCATGCCCTAATGTGACAAGACTGTTATCTGGACCCAGGAGGTTCTGCTGTCGTTACTAGGATGGCAGCCATGCACATGCCCTCCGTCAGCTCCCACTGAGGGCCAGCCATGGGCCACAGGGCGGCTCTGTCCTTGCCAACAGCCAACTCTCCATTGCTCAGCCTGTACTCCCTGCCCCCATCGATTTCTACCACCTGACCTGAGGGCAGGCTTCCAGGAGATCAGAGGCCACTGCCCTGGCTGATGACACCCTGGGAGCACAAAATCCATCTCATCAGAGGCTTTGCAGACCAGCAAAGGGCAAAGAAGTGACCTGTAGAGGCACTGGTTCCTGGAAAATGGCTTACCTAAGCCGTAGGGCAAACAGACAGACTCTGGCCTGGCCCCCCAGCCCCGTGGGACCTGCTCCCTCCCCCGCAGGGCTCGGGCCGGGCGGTCAGGTCTCACCTTCTTTCTGAACACAGATGGCGGACATCACCTTCTTACAAGTTCATTGTCTAACCCATAGCCTGGTGTCTAGTGGCAGGAGACCCTCCAGCTACCCCCTCCTCTCTGAACATCCCAGCATCCCGATTCTTCCCCAGAGGCCGAGGGCAGAGCCTCGGTAGCTCCGGTGACACTGGGCGAGTTGGTGCATCCAGGAGCGGCTCAGCACGTGTGGGTGCCACAGACCCCCCTCCTAGCCTGGGCTCTGCAACCGGCCTCTGTGACCTGGTGCCGCAAGCGGCCTCTCTGTGCCTTGGTTTCGATTGTAACGTGAGCACCATAATAACGATGTCTCCGAACATCTTCAAGATTAGAAAACATGGTTAGAAACGCTGAAACAGCATCAGCCCCAAATAGATGGAAGATATGGACTAAGATACACGTACTCCCAAAGGCTCCTAGTATTTATTAAGGCTCCAGAATGATCCGGGTGGTCAGACACATTGTCAAGAGCATTAATTTGTCCCCGACGTTATAGATCCTGCTCAGCCCTGCACAGAAGGCTGTCTCTGTTCTGTGGCATTGCCCACATTCCATCAGTGCTGCGGGTAAGGAGAGAGCGAGGGAGAGACTTCCAGGAGCTGGGGTGGGGGGTGTTCTTTGTGACAGGTTCTTCACGGCAAACAGGAACTCCCCCACCCCCGACAAGGGCAGCATGCGTGGTGCTGTCTCCTGGATACTCCCGGGTGTCCCGAGCATCTTTCTCCTCACTACCTGGACGGGGGCAGGAGGGTTCGGCTGGCTGAAAGCATTTGTTCAAAAGTGACAACTTCGGACACATGCATGGAAAATAAATTTTCTCTCCCTAAAACCTTGCGAGCCCCAAGAATCCAAGAATATAATTTCTCTCTGTCTGCTAGGTAGAGTCTACACTACTCTGTGGAACCCTATGCGGCTTCCTTTGTCCTCATTCGAAACAATTTTTACCGGGTCTTTCCAACCGCCTGGTTGAACTGGGTTTATGGCAGACCATCACAGCGGATACAGGAAAAGAAGCCAACACCCCTGCATTTGGACTCCTGGTTCTTCACAGCCCGGGATCTGGAGTATGTCAGATGACATCTTTGAACCTGGATGTCCTCATGAGGACATAAGCTCTGTACTTCCTCCGCTGCTATATCCGTGACACCCAGCACAGTATATGGCTCCTAGCTGCGTGAGTAAGGCATACTGTTCAGCCTGCCCAGCCTATGCCATATCCAGGATATAATGTGCATGGATCACCTTGAAAACTGGAACATAATACAAATATTGGTTATTGCTAGGATGTGCAATAAAAGTTGGGCTTGTCGGTGTGCGAGTGGGAAGGTTCTGTGGGTGTCTGCAGGGAAGGGCAAAGTTCACCATAGGTAGGGGCCAATCCACAAGGGTGAAAGGGCCAGGTACGGCCTCGGGCTCCAGAGTCTCTGCGAAATACGGGGATTTGTTTGGAGCTGCGCTTCCTGCTCTGAGCAGGTCCTCCTGGGCGCTCGCTGCTACAAATAGAACAGTGGCAGGAGCAGCGGGAGGGCAGGGAGGAAGGCTGGCATAGCACACATTTCGTTCCCAAGGGAGGGGTGTCCCGATGCACTGGCACCGGGGGCTTTGTGCATTCCGTTCGTCGCCGCGCAAACAGAGCAGCTTTGCAGCTCTCTCCCCTCCTCCTGTCATTGGCTGCCGGGCCGCGACCTCCCCCTGCGCTGGCAGCGGCCCAGCGCCTTGGCCGGGCACAAAGTCAGCCCCTCACCCCTGACGCACGGCGGGAGGGGGCACGGCTCGCCCGCAGCCGGGGTAGGGATGTGGGTGTGGGGCGGGTGGTCGGAATTGGCAGCGGGTGCCCACGCTGTCCCCGCTGCCCTTCACCCTTCTGGGTCCCCGCCCGCGGCGCCCGCCCGGGCACCTCGGCCACCTGTTGACGCGTCCTCTCAGCTAGTGTTCTCTTTCTCCTTCTTTTGGATGCTGGGGTGCTTGGGACTGGTTCTGCCCCGACCGCCCCCCACCCCCGCGCACCCCGCGACTACGAGGGCACTCGCACCTCGGCCCGGGTAGAGACCAGCTCGCCCTAGGCCAGCTGAGCAGGGCTCCCCAGGGAGGAGGGGCCTTGCCAGCGTGGCCTGGGCGCCCGACGGGAACCCCCAGGGTCCCGCGGCCTCGCGCCCGCCCCCGCCCCGACTGCAGCCCCTCCGGGTGCGCGGGGCTGGACGCGCGCCGACGCCCAGCTGCACGCGCTGTCCCACCGTGGCTCTCTACCCGCCAGCCCGGTGACCTCCGCAGTCCCTCCGCCCCTCCGGCCTCAGTTTCCCCCCTGGTGCAGCAGCAGCCGGGCACGAGATGGGAGCCTCCGGGGCCGCGGCCCCGCCCCCGGCCCCGCGGGCAGCCAATCGGGCGCCGCCGCCAGGGGGGTGTGTCCCGCCCGGGGCCAGGCCAGGGGCCCGGGGCGGGGCGGGGCTTCCGGCGGCCATCCGCGCCAGCCGCCCGCGCAGCCGGGCCGGGGCGGGGGACAGAGGGGCGGCGCGTGCCGCGGGGGGCGCGGCTGGCACCGGCGCGGGGAGGCGGCGCCGGGCATGGGCAGGGGACGCGGCGGCCCCACGGCGGGGGCAGCGGGCGGCAGGGGCGGAGGCGGCCGCAGCTAGCGCCCTGCCCGGCGCTGCCTCCCTCGGCGCGCTCGTCCGGCGGACCCGCAGGCGGCGGACCGGCTCCAGGTGCCCAGGGGCGGGCGGGCGCTCGCGGGGGTCCGAGAACCGGGCCTCCACTTCTCGGGACGCGGAGCGGCGGCGGCCAGGGGAGGGGCCGGGCGGCGCATGCGCGGGATCCGGGGGCGCGGGCCGAGCGCGCTGGGTCTGGTGCGGGGGATCCCCGGGCCCAGGGGGCCGCCCCCTGCTCGGCCTCCTTCCGAGCGCCGGGGGCCTCGGAGACGCTGGGTCCACAGGTTGTCCCGCGGGAGGGAAGGCCCGGGGGCTGGGGCCTGGGGCTCACCCTTCCCTCGGCCCGGTCGATTTGGGGCGTCACCGACGGGGGGGGCGTTTCCCGAGACCACCGGGGATCCTCGAGGCTGGGTAGCCGGAGGCCCGGACAGACGGACCCCCGGGGCTGCGCGCCCGGCGGCCGCGGTCGGACGAGAGAAACTCGCCCGCGGAGCAGCTTTGAGGAACTGCCGCACTTTGCGCCCGAGCGCAGTCGGCCAACCCGGCCGAGCCCAGGGCAGCGGCGCCACGCTTCTCCCCAGCCCGGCTCTGCGGGTCCCGCGCGCCGCTTCCGCGCCCGGGTCTCCCCGCGTCCCGGCCGCGCGGGCCCGGGGGGCACAGGGCGGTGCCGGCGGCGCTCCGGAAGCCGGGTTCTGCCCTCACGCCCACCCCAGACTGACAGTTCTGCATGCCTGTGCTTTCCTCGCCTTTTTAAGTTTAAAGGAGGGATGGCGTGCCCCAAATGTCAGTGTCAAACGTCTTTCTAAGAAAAGTCCGCGGCTGTGTCATGTGTCGGATTTTGCGGGTTGCTCTGGGCCCTTAGGGGCTGCGCGGCCACCCCGACCCCGGCAGCCCCTCCTCAAACCAGGGAGCCCCCTCCTCTCTCGGGGCCGCTTGGGAAAGGGTGCGCTGGGCGGGAGCGGAGCGGGGAGCCCGGCAGGGCAGGGGGGGCACCGGGTTTTCCGTTCCTGCTGAAGCAGGGTCACGGTGACTTTCCTCTTCCAAGGTGGTGGAGAGTTGGGGAGAATCCAGAGGACATACCGTAATCATTTCCCTCTTTACCTTCTTACTGCCAAGGCTGCAGGGAAGGGCCCTGCCTCCGCGAGGAACCGTTGGTGGTGAGGCCCGCTCGGAAGGAAGTAAGACGTTGCCATCACAGGTAAATAGAAGGTTTGATTCGCTCCTGTTTCCAGACCGAAATATTTTTTAAGTGTTTACTTCTGTTGCCGTACAAACTAGGCATTTGGGGTGAGTTATTACTTTGTGGTGCAAAGTTAGGTGTATGTTCAGTGCTTTGAAAGTCAGATGAATGTGGATACTGCTAAGTGGCGGGTTCTTGTCTCGGTTTCACTGAGAGATTCATTGCTTTATAGGGGCTCGGTTCCATGGAGTATAAATCTGGACAGCTGAACTGTGAGAGCTGTTATTCTTTGACAGACACTGAAGTTGCAGGAGCAAGTGCAGAGCGGCATGAATGAAGATTCTTCTTGCTGTTTCCATGCTGATTTGAATATCAAGCAGATAGCTTGCTGGGGTAGTAGGTCAGGTCTGGAACTGTCATTACCCAGGACAGGGACAGTCTGGAGGTGTGGCTGGACGGGAGAGGTCCCTGTCACCCAGGGGCCAGATGGGGGGACGAGACACTTCTGGACAACTTTGAGACAAAAGCAAATTAACCGACGGTAGAGAAAAATGTGTTTTCTCTCTTTTCTCAGATCTTAGACATATAACGAGAGGCATCCCATAATCACGAAATAGTTTGTACTAGCTCATGTCTGTCAGACTTGCAAACTGATTTTTAAGCATTGTGTGTGTAAGAGAGAGAATGAGAGAGAGCGGAGAAAAGGCATGTTTCTTCCATAGAAGTCACTGTGTAATCTGCTTCTGCTTCGTTGACTATTGGGTAGTGAAAAATCTTGCCGTGTGAAATAAATGTGTTTCTGCTTTGTTTTGAATGTCTGTGTAATATTCCATTGTGTCTAGGTAAAGTCATCATTTAGCCAATCCCTTAATGTGTTTGTGTGTGTGAGCTCACATATATGTATCTATATAATTGTGTATTATATATATATATAATATATATAATTTCATTCATTCTGCAACTATTTGCTGAGTAGCTGCTAAATGCTAAGGTCCTCAGTATGGAGCAAGACAACTATGGATCTGCTTGTGAAGCTGATTTTTGTACCAGAATACTGTCCTCCTCATCCTAAAAGGTGGAACTGGAGTATAGAGAGGGAAACTGTTTTTGCCAAAACATCTTGCTGTTTCTCGATTGATAGCCAACACTCTTTTTCTTGCGTGCCTATGAGCATCTGTGTTTGTATGACAAATATTCTTTAAGTAATCTTTAAAAAAAATCAAATGTTTCTCAGCTGAGTGTAAACAGATTTTAAACACCCCCAATTCTCTTTCCTCCTTTTCCCCTCCTGCATCCCTGCATGTATTCTTAAAGGAAAATAGCATGAGTGTCTCGCCTTCCAAGTGGCTGGTGTTCCTGTTGAACATTTGTACTAATTTTGTTGCACTGCTCTGAGAGAGGATGTGACCTCTATGATTTCTGCTGGTTTTGAATTTAAGGACCCCTGTTCTTATCTCTGGTTTTGGTGGCTTGATATTGAGTCAGTCAGTCTTTCCCATGTTCCGTGGATATTCCAAAGAAAGGCATAGTTTCTGTGTGCGGGGTAGACGTTTGCTGTATCTGTCACTTCAGCCTTATTAGGGACACAGAACAAGCGAGCTCACCTCCAAGGCCAGGACATGTGGGTAGGGAGAATGAGGCAGTGAACTTTAATTTCCAAGTTGGTGTGAAGATAGTTTTAAAGTAAGAACCAAGGAGGAAAAGCCCTAGAAGCCCCAGTGGACTGTATGTGAAAGACCTTGTTTCTTCTTCCAAGGATTCCTAACGCTGACATGCCGTGAGCTTCTAATGGAAAGGGGCACATGCATGTGATTTTCCGACTGGTTCTGTGGATAATCAGATGTGACCTAGTCTGACAGTTGCCGTGATTGGGAGGTGTATTTGTTCCTTGCCTCTGGAGTATTAAATTACACAGCATCTCGTCGTCCTGATAGTGTGGTGTCTGGAAGAGTTTCTGCACTCCGAAAAGTGAAGAATTTAGTCCCTGCTGGGTCAGCTCTGTTAGAATTATTTTTGTGGTTGAGCTGCCTTTGTTTTGAGGTCAGCGCGTAGTACAAGAAAAAACAGTCGGACATGTCGGTTTGCGTTGGAAGCAGCTCGCTACGGTGGAAATGCATTGGGTCATTAAGCTCAAGACTTGGTTTCTTGTTCGTTGGCTGCGGCCCGCCAGGCCCGGGGTCTTCCTCTCTAGTTGGCTCTACCACTCTCTTCTCATCGGAAAATCCTGTTTCACTTCTCTGAGGGCTTGGGAAGCTCAAAAGTGGCGGCTTACATGAAGACTCCTGTACAATAAGAAAATGTGCGCATAGCCCAAGGGGTGTCTTAGAAGGAAGCAGCCTCACCCTGGTCTCGGCCTTCTCAGTGGGCCACAGCTGATCCCTACATTATTTTTGCTCTGGCCATTTTATGAATTTTCAAAGGCTCTCAGAAAGCAACACCCCCACATAACTACAAATTTTGTCCCCTGATTTTGAATACATAAACAAGAGACCTACACCTGTCACGAGTGTTTCGTGCTTTCTCTGAATGCGGACGTGCCCCTCCCGTTGTGGTGCTCGTATATTGTGCGTTGGCCCTTATTCCACTCTACTAGAGCATGGGGAGGCTGTCCCTCATCCCTGGAGGGTGAAGGCCTCCCGGACTTAGGCCGGGCTTTGCTGGGCGGCACCTAGGCGCTGCCCTGCGTCACGGTTTCTCATTGGCCTGACTTTCCCCCCCGGGGGTCTGACTTGCTAAGAGCAGTGTGTGTCCATTCATGTCTGCCCTGCTGGTCTTACATCCTGAGTAGGTCCTTGCAAATGGTCACTGAACAAAGCAATTAGCAGAATTCAATCTGGCAAGGATCGATTGGCGGGCCTCTGTTTTCTACCTGCCACCAATGTGGGTGGGAGCTGGCTTAGCAGTGCAGACAGCAGGCCGGCCCATCACAACCCCCTTGGCATGTTGTGGCTTCCCTCCCACCTGGGATGGCGAGACGGCGCTCCTGCCACGAGACAGGGGAGTTGCTGCATCCAGGCGGGACCCATTGCGCAGTGCCCATGGCATCCATAGCATAAAGGCCATAGTTGTAGCCAAAATGATTCCGACCATGATCGTCACTAGGTTTGGGGCATGTTATGTGTCAGACGTACTTTTTATGAGCTGGCTTGAGAATCTAATTAAATAGAATGCTCTTTCTTTCTGCAAGATCATGGATTCAGATTCCAAACAACTGGCTCCTCAGGAAAGGGGTATCTTTACCCCGGTGTGAGTTCGGGCGCACTTATCTCTGCGAGGGCAGGGGTCCAGCAGACACTCCGGCTGTGGGGATGAGATAGGCGCACAGGGGCAGTTGGAGGAAGTGCCGGCTGTGTGTCTCTCTATTGCAGGGAGCTGCCCTCACCTGACTGCTCCGGCTTTGCTCTGTTTTAAGAGATTTGTAAATAAAGAGGAGCGAGGGTTTCTAGTCCGATGTCCTCGCTTTACACTTTTAGCTTAGAGACCACAAGTAAACCTTTAGGAAAGCATCACTTTGCATAGTCAAAGCTCGGAAGGCAAATGCAGAATGACAAATCACCTCAAAGATTATGAAGCTTCGTATGAATGGTTTGAAATTATAATACAGTTAACTGAACAGTATATTGTGGTTCCTTTTTTTTTATTTTTTCCATTTTTACCAGTGAGTGAGGCCCCAAGCTTTCTTACAGCCATTTATAACTGAACGAGTCTGCGGTTATGTGATAACCACACTAAGGTGACAAATTGCCAAGCTCCAGTAAAAGGGACCCAGTTATGTAGAGGCTGACATGTGGATATGTCCTTTCTGAAATATTCTTAGAAGTTAGTCGTCAGCCTGACGTGACTTTTTATATATTTTTATATGACTTTTTATATATAATTTATAATTAAGCAACATGGCTTGTAAAAGACTGGATGAATCTGCAATCAAATCTTGATTGTCTGCAAGCCCGTTTCTCCTATTACCTGGGTGTTAAATGGGATATGTTTTGGCCAGAAGAATTTTTAAAAAGCCTCTCTGGCAGCTTTCATTATCGGACAGGTTGACTAGGCTGCCAACATGCAGAGCACATTCCCTCTTTCTAGGATCAGGAGGATATCTGATAAATTCGACAGTGTCCTTTTGGCTCATTTTATGGGACAGCTTGATAACTGGGCCAGAGTCTTATCCGTTTGCTGTGCACTCAGCTTTCCATTTCTGGTTTTTTCTCTGCATATCGGGGGTGGGAATGATGTGAAGGACGTTTAAAAGGAAAATTGTTCAGAGAAGTGTGAGATCTGGTTGAAACCGGAGCATTTGAATGGCTCGTGCTGTCCTCAGATGTCCGGATCTGCAGGGGGAAGACTCTGCTGGCCCGTGATCATTGCCCCCTTTCTCCACTTAGAAGACGTCCCCACCTCTGTCAGTGTCGCGGTCTGGGCACGGGCCTCCCTCCCGCGCCTGCAGGGTTCCCCAGTCCAAGTGCACACAGGCTCAGGGAAACACCGACTTCCCTCTTCTCCTAAGAAGCACCCACGTGTGGAGAGAGTTTTCCAGAAAGGAAGACATTCTGTTGTTGCAGTTTTCAAATCTGGAAGGTAAACCTAATCCAGTCTACTCAGCCAGGAGTCCCGAGAGCTAAGGAGCAAGTTGAGCCGGGCAAGGATGCTGCCAGCCCAGGCTTCGTGGGGAGCAACACCCCAAGGAGAAGGCTTTGAACAATGAGAGGCGTGAGGAGAAAGATATCGAGCGTTTAGAAGCATTTGAAGCTGGTGTTCCTTAAGAGGAAAAGACCAGCATACACGGGGTTAAAGGAGCTGGTGCCCTGGTGCCCGGAGCATCAGTCGGGTGGAGGAAGGAGGCTCTAGATGCGGGGACAGCGCGTGGAGAAGGGGCAGGGGTCGGGGAGAGCCTGTAAAGGCCACGCCAGAGAGGAAGGTCACAGTTCCTGGCTGGGTGACAGGGGGAAGGTTCCAGCGGGACACTTTCTGTGAAGGACAGTAGTCATCCTCGCAAAGCTCCGGGCTCCGTGTGGGAAGAC